TGAACCGCTTAGAAAATTTGAATCACAGAATCTCTGTGCAGCTTTCGGTCCTTGCTGCAGGCACGAAGGAAAAAATCAAAAATCTCATTGTCAATTTGCAAGGGATCCCAACGAGCGCTCCACCAAATTGTAGATCGAAACAGTAATTCTTCTCGGTAAACTCAAGCTTTTAGTGTAATCTGTATGCCATTGAGTTTCTACAGAAACTGATACAGTATCCATGCATTCCAATCCAGTCGAACTGGATTTTGGCCTTTGAAGTTTCAGGTCAGAATGAATTTATTCAATCATAAATTCTATTCACTAATGTCATAAATTCTAGTTTATAATTCTTGCTTATATTTTTTGGAATATATTCCAAAATTCAATTACTGAAAAGATTTTTGTCAAAAGAGGAACAACTAATTTCTTCTTATGTTAGAAAATAAAGGATAGTATGATTTATCTATCACCTGGGCATTTTAGATATCCACTGAGTCCGATATTGATTTTGAGAAATTCAATTGAATTGCATATTATGATGATCAACTGAAGGACATTCCTAGTATGCCACCAACAAGTACATAGTGAAATCAATTTCGGCATAAAATGACTAAGTCCAATTTCACTGCTAACAGAATGGACACTCAAAGAGAAGAGCCAACCATGTAAGCATAACTAACTTAAGAAAGTAAGCGACAATTCAATAGTTGTTACAAGAAAATCCTTTATCACATACCTCGTGCAGTATCTTCACCCATTTGTCATATGCAACCATCATCAGCAGGTGATCAGATTGTTTGTCATTGTTATTCGAATCACTTGAACCAGGCTTATCAGTCAAAAGAGCAAGTTTGGCCCTATCGACATGTTGTTTCTACAGAAAGAACAAAAAAAAGAAACATAGATTAGAAGTTGTTTATTAATTATCCCTGAGCAACATAGTCAAAATTACTCTAACATAGAAACGTACCTCATCTTTAGGGTATAAAAATGGAGATTTATAGCTCAAAAACCCAGCAATTGAGAGAATTGGTGATAGGCAACCAAATATTCCACCGTACAGCAGCATCTGCATTTACTCAAGAATATAGTCATGATTGTGCACCGGGTGGCACTGTAGTCAGGGAAAGTATCTACTAAGGTGTATTTACACATTGATTATCAATCAACAATATGGATAACTTTGAAATCTAAAAGAGGCGGCTTTTGTTAATATCAGTAAATGGGATGCATGATAGCATTGTTACTAGATGTTGCAAGGAAAGGAAAAAAAGACACATAAATAAGACAATGATAGAGGTCTTGAACCATAAATTTGAGTAACAGAGACAAACCTTCCCAATCAACAAATCAACAGGAAGTTTTGCCAAATGATGCCCGAGTGGTGTTAACTCTTCATCCCCTTCAATGGCACCAACCTAATAAAGAGAAGATTCATCAAAGACAGGTTTAAAGCACCACGGACTTTAAAATCTATCCAGAAATGACTTTTATGGAACCAATACACCCTAAACCCTTGTTAAAAACTTAAATGACCATGGAATAATACGAAGTAGAAAAAGCCAATCAATCTGCCACGCTAGAGGATAGCAGCATGCTCATCAGCAATAATGCCCAGGTGCAAGTTGCATAAAGTTTTTGATGTAAGCAAATTGACAGACCCAAGGAACTACGCATCCTTTAGATCAGACAAAGACATTCTCTAGTCGCACACTACCTCATGTAACAATGAAATCGCAGAGGCTATAGCTCCTTCACTTGGAGGTTCCAAAGCCTAAAGACAGGAAGGAAAAAAAAAAGAAGTTAGATGACAGTGAAAGCAAATGTGATATCTAAAGCGTCACGAACAATGATGTCACTTGCCTTGGACAGAAAAGGCTTTATGTAGCCCAGACCAAGCAACTTGATTTGTAAACATAACTCTACCAGAGGCATCCGCATCATCTCAGGAACCTTGCGATGAAGATGAGCAAGTAATTTTAGAGGCAAACCAACAAAAGTATACAAAAAAGCACCTGAAAGAAAAGCACCTGATACGGACGCATAAGCTTCTCGAACCTATGACGAGTGTACAAGGAAAAGCAAATTCCAGGTTTAACACGTCCAGCTCTTCCTCTTCTTTGTCTTGCATTTGCTTGAGAGATCCAATCTTCCACCATGCTTGACAATTTCTAAAATTAAAATAATTGACACAGAAAAATAACATTACAGAAACCTAGTAAAAAATAATCATCAGTGAAACCCACAGAAAGGTATATTTACTGTCTCGAGAACTATATTTTGAAATTAATAAAACCAATATATAAGACCTGGAAAAGTTCAGTTTGTTGCATAGATAACCAAAAACAAAGTAAGGAAACCACCAGAAACTAATTAAATGACAAATCAACATTTCATCTGGAAGCGAATGAGCAACTATCACTACAACATGTGCATCATTTAGGATTATTCTTTTCACTCTCTAGTTATTGAATTTACAAGGGGAAACAAGGAAAGAAGTATCTTCTAATTAATGCCGACTTTGTTCACCAAGCATCAAAGAGGAAAAATACAACTGATGAACTGACACTTAAGAGTACCTTTTGTGGATTATAACGATTTTCCTTGTGTTTTCCAGAGTCAATCACATACACAACATCGTCTATTGTTATACTGGTCTCCGCAATATTGGTAGCTACAATAACCTGAACATTAAAAAGGACACAAAAGCTAAATGTTAATCAGACCAGTCTGGCAGCAGTTCACACACAATCAAGAAGGGTTTATACCAAAATGGTTTCTGGTATCGAGAAACAAACACACATTTACCAAAAGAGATTTGGCACTCGCATCAATTTCATCTCATTTTCAACTGGCTGGTATCTTTAGCTGACTTCCGAAACACAAAAATTGCCATCACTCAGCTAAAGATATCTTGAGAATTTAGTGGCGGTAAAGAAGGAAAAGTAGTGTTGACAAAAAGACGCTATACTTTTATAAAAAAAAAATTATAATATTTTATATAGTGAAAATCACAAAGCATCTACGAAATGAAATATAAACTCTATGTAAGCTGCAACAGAGGAAAAAGAAACTCTGATAAGCAAAATCCATTAAGAAATCATAAAAAGGTAGAAATCAATCTAAATTCGTAGAATTTAACACTAAGTTCTGGCTAGCTAGCTTAGAGCCCCCAACCACTTTAAACATTTTTTGCTAGACAAAATCCAAATGCATCTTAAGATATTCCAAAATTCCGTATATGTGGGGGAACGGGGAGAAAAAGTTGTTCTCTTCAATTGAAAGACTAGCAATGCTGGAGGAAGAGAAAAGGACAAATGTGACATGCGACAGACTTTTTCCATAACGATAATGGAATATCACAAAGGACTGTCCTTAAAGAAATTAGCCATCTAAAGTAACACATAGTGGTAGTGTTACTTAGTAAATAGTATGAAGATCGTAAAGGAAATTTACCTTCCGTATGTTTTCAGGGGGACGCAGAAACACCTTTTTTTGTTCTGCAGATGCAATAGAAGAATGTAGAGGAAGAAGCCAATCGGCAGAAGGCCCACCAAATCGATACGAGGCAGCCAACCTATCAAGTAACGTGTAAATTTCAGACACTCCCTGTAATAACCAAACACATGTCAAGCCGAAGCAACAGAAAAGATGATGGGTCTCGATTGAAATAGAAGTTCTCATCATCAGCTTACAGGCAAAAATACAAGAATAGCTCCCTCGTCACAAGTGTCATCAATGTGGCATATCAACTCTTCAAGAAGCTCATAATCAGTAATATCCTCATTTAATCTTTTCTGCCAAAACAATCACAAGTTGTCAGGATAACCTTCAGTGAATAAGAGGATGACAAGCTCAATCTGAAAAAGAAAAGTACCAAATTTTTCTGTGTCTGATCACAGTATGAGCTGTAATTACTGGGATCATAAAATGGGTTAGAAGGGCCTTCAGAGAGCAGATAATCGTCGCCCCAGCCAGCCAAGACAAGATTCTTTTTTCCCCTACGGTCGTTTACAGGACCAAGCTGCAGCCATGAAGATTCATAAATTAACTCCGTAATACTCCAAAAATATGTTTTAACTTGAAGGTTCTGTACATCGGGACTATCATCCAATATTTTAAACAATATAATACAAATAAAATTAAAACCCCGGATAAAGGCTGTTCGACGCATGTCATTTATCCCAATTGTTGCAATCATGGATTGTGGATGCGTGGAGTTCTGGAAAAACTATTGACATAATGAGCAACACTCGTTGCAGTAAAATGGAAGGATTTTCATGAAGAAACCCACGAACACAGAATTAGAAGAGGATATATAAATTAAGGAGTGCATGCAAATATCTTGAGTTTGGAATAATCTCTCTATACCAAAGTGGGGGTGGGGGTTAAACTGGCATTTAGACACCATAAAGAAAGCAAACAGTAGAAAAGGCAGAAATACATAAGACATGCTGGTTAAAAGGGAAAAGGGGATCGCAGAAATACAAAGGATAATTTGTGTAAAACAAGTATGCTAAATACCTGGTCTTTTATTGAACTGTCAGATCTTAGAGCAGCAGGAGAATCTGGAGCAAGATGATAACTTGTAAGCTCATAAATGTCTTCCAGAAATTGAGTAGTAACTGGATGAGTTCGTCCTTGTGCAGTAACTACAGGACAATGCCCAAAATATCTTGAAAACTGCTCTGCATCAACAGTAGCCGACCTGAAGGAAAGCATAAATTAGTACATTACTACATTGTCTGTATATTTTTACAACCTGCAATTTGAGACCGAAAGGATAGAAACATACATGAGGATAACTTTCAACTTAGGTGTGGCATCATCACAGGATTGCTTCTCAATTAGGTTCTTCAAAATAATGAGAAGAAAGTCACCCTGAAATGGTAATAAGAACACAGTTAACTCTCAACTGATCTTTAAGAAAACATTAAGGTCATTCCCAGCCATACCAACATTTGAATGAAAAAAATATTGATATGTGAAACTTAGATCCAACAGACTTTATAAAAAAGACAGATGGCAATAGGTACGCTTACATTACATGGTCAAGATGACTGGATACAATGATTAGTGACAAAAGAAACCCAGATGAAAAAGAACTTAAAACGATTTTCACTATTCCTTTTTATGGGAAGTCGAAGATGGGAAACTTTTGGACTTTAACGTTGTAAACAATTAGTTGAACTATACAACGTGATTTGATTTGATTGGCCATTAGCAGAATGTCTACTATAAATGCATACCACAAATGTACTGCCCCAATTCCTAGTTTCCCTTTTCAAAAAGCTATTTTACATTTTTGAGCGACTAGATTATCTTGTATAGAGCCTCAAGCATCACTTGTAACATAGTATGTCAATTCTGCTCAACATTTATGCCAAAAATATGGATAACTGCCAAGGAGAGAAAATTTATCATCAAGGAAGTTATGGATCTTTTACAAGAACTCACCAAAAGAGACCGCTCATGCACTTCATCAACTATGATATGTGTAACCCCTTTCAAGGATTTATCCCCCTGGACAAACACACACAAACACAGGAGGAGGAGACGAATAAAAAGCATTAGCAACTTTGGCAGTACGTATGCAACAAGAAAAAAAAAACTTATTCTAAGAATCTAATATCCACAGCATTACTGGTATGGAACATAAAACTGCATCATGAGTCCCCCAAAACTAGACATTACTTTTCTTCAGAGCACCTTTGGCAGAAAATAGTCTCTAAGACTACTAATTGGAACCCAATTCATGTGACGTGGCTAAAAGCATTTTGTCATCCTAAGATGATACCAGACAAGAATCTCCTATTCTGGACCTTAAATATGGACTTTAATACCAAACTGCGATTTATGTACTACTTTTTCTGCCCTGCCATAGGAGCTTGTTTTATACAGCCCATAATTTCTCTGATTATAAAAATTCTGATTATGTATATCACCAGAATATGTGTGTAACAATAATGCTACTCTTTCTCAGTATTTCAGCTTACAACAATCACACGCGAAAGTATTCATAACTTGCACCAGAGCATACTAAAGAAGTAGGAGACATACTGCAAGTTTCCTCAGTAGAATGCCAGTCGTACAAAAGAGCAGCCTTGTTTTGTCATTCCTGAACAAATATGCAAGCAAATCCGAATAAACCTCAAAGAAGAATTTCAAAATATTGTCCACCTTTCAGGAACACTGTTCAATGGGAAAACCACAACGAAAACCTAGAATATTATATGATAATAATCTTATCGCAGAGTAAAAAATGCATATGTTACAACCACCAGATGAGGAAAATGAATGCAACTAATGCTGGTGTGATAATAAGTCAGATTCATCACCAACAGGTGCTGCAGAAAAAGCAAGAACGATTTTGAGTATCCAAACATACTTTTTTGCACAAAGACAAAATCTACTCATGCATCATCGCGGCCCCAAAGGCTTTAGAAGTTAGAATTTTCTTGCTTTTGAGATTTGTATGCCCTTGTTCATAATTCAACCATTCAATCATGCTCTACTTTGAAGACCAAGCAATTTTTCAGGCAACGACCGGCATAAAAGCAAGCAATTCTGAAAGTATAAAGCAAGTCCTTTGAAACAGTGAATGCATCTGAGAAATAATATACCACCCGATGACATTTTATAAGCAACAGTTCATAAAAGAAGGGAAAAAAAAGGAGACAGAACCTTGCACTTTCGAGACGAACTTGATAACCAACCAAGGAATCATCTGAGCCTGGAGAGGATTCACAACGCTCATCAGCAACTCTTTGAGCAACAGAGATAGCCTAGACCATATTCCACAGTTACTAATAAAAACAAAGTAGAAAGAAACCTGCAGTGCTAGGCTCCATTTTATAATTTAAAATACTTGAAGATGGCAAAAACAAAAGAACCAACAAGAATTAAAGTATTACAGTGAATCCAAACCAAATAAGTAAAATCCCAAACGGAAACATGGCATCTTTAGACCAAGATACTCACAGCTATTCTCCGAGGTTGTGTGCATATGATATTACAATATCCACCATGACCCGATTCAATCAAATCATCCAATATAAATTGAGGTACCTAAAACAATGTCACAATTAGGACTGGCATAAAGCTGAATCTTGAAGGAAAACTCAGTAACAAGAGCAAGCCAAGAATGATAATATCACCAGAAAGTAACAGGGAGCAATTGGCCAGAACAAACCTGTGTAGTCTTTCCAGAACCTGTTTCTCCACATACCACCAGGACATCTTTTTCCTTCAGATGCCGCAATATGTCATTCTTCACTTCAGTTATAGGAAGCGCAGCTCTAGTTTTCAACATATTCTATGACATAAGTACAGATTAAGTCATGTAAGTCGCAGTCCACTAAAACTAATATTCTGTTTTCTCGTAACGAAGTGCTATATTTCTTACAGGAATGGCTTAAAGGCTTCGAAAAGCCTATGGGTAGGATTATACGCATAAAAGTAATTTTAGCCACTGCTAGACCCAACAGTACTGTTATACTTAATTGAGAAATATACTACCTGGTACTTCGGAATTTTCATTTTGTTTTGTTGCTTTTGTCTCAGGGAGAAACTTTCAGCCTCTATGGTAGAGTGTCCTGCAACTCAGAGAATAAAATAATCATGCTTTCGGCTTTCCTGGTAATGATTTAGGCAGTAATATTCAAGGCTATCTATTTAGACCAACTATCGGAACCAATGAGGATTTAAGACAAACCAAATACAAGATCATACTTTTAGCTTTTTGGTCAGAAATGAGAACACCCAAGCGATCATTCTCTCCGACATTAAGGTCCAAAACTTGATGCGCGTCATTGATAATCTCGGGAGAAGCACCCAAACTAGAACTGTCCGTCTTAAGCAACCTATCAACAAAATCAGCTCTTCGATCTTCTTCTCTCTGTACGTTACCCAACAATTCCTCTGCCAAAGCAAAAGAATTTAGCAATAGCAAAAAGCAAGTGTGATCAATAAAGATATTGCCACGCCAAACGTAATTTGATATTCATTAGACTGGAGACATCAGAGATATGCCAAAACCTATAGCAAAAGAATATACTCTCCATTCCGTTCATGTTGCAAGTTAAATTCAGTAAAGGTTTAATATTTATCTTCTTTCTTTTCTTCAGGGCAAGTATTTAGAACAAACAGTTTTTTAGGGATAAAAGGAACTCTCTGGCAAATTATATTTACAGTTGAATTTCCATTTATCCCTACCTTAATCACGGATCAAAAGATACTTTCACATGTCTGTGCTAGAGAAGAAATTATCATTTTGAAGAAAATATGGGAAGATTAACATAAAATGAAATCGACTGGGCCAAGGGCCTAAATTTACAGGAACATTATCAGACACCTCACTAGGTTGTTTATTGGACACGAGAAAAAGAAATGGTTACCAAACAAGACCCTTTAAATTACCTTGTTTCCACGTCAAAATAAGAGATGCATAAGGCTCCGTAATTGCAAAGTGAACAGGTAAATCAGAAAATAGTTTATAAAGAGCAAATGCCGCAACTTTGTTTTGTGCATCCTGCCACAAAATTAGTTCACATAGTTAGCAAAATCATAAACAGCTCACAGATAACAAACATATTAACTATTATTCAATTTCTTAATCATTTTGGAATCGAGAGTCGATGCGTAGCTCCAAACGCTGACCAACAAATTTAGAAGTTCAAGGTCATGTGGGTAAACTTCTTACCCGTTCCTCCAAGTGTGCAAATGTTTGAGACGTCGAGTTTTCAAGGGGTGAATAACAGATCTACTAGATACAAATTCAAGGACCCTACTTCCACCGATACTGAAACATGATTGGTCTAAAGCACTAAATAATCCAATTATAGTGTACTTCATAACTTTTTCTGAACGATCATTGTGCCTTAAAATCACATTAAAGAAATTTGAACCTGACATATTTTTCTTGAGAGAAGATAAAGAGGCGAGCACTCTTGTTCAGCATCTTAAAGACAAGGATATGAAATGTTAGCATAAGGATATAAGAGCACCTCAGTGGACTCAAATATTTCATCCTTTCCAGGAAGTCGAAGGCTGACCAGTCCCCCAGCTTGTCTGCTTTTACCCCGTCCAGTGGCTTTACGCAGAATACTTGCAATATATGAAAAACTCCTTCCTTCTTCAACTACTTTGTTGAACTTTGGCGCTTCCCACCCTGACCTTTGACACAATTGATGGAGGAAAGCCTTAGGGATCCTCCGTGATTCACCCTGTCAAACTTTTACTATGTTAAAAGATGATTGGATAAACCAAAGCCACCAAGTCCGCAAGTTTTTACTAGAGCACCAAGAATATAAGCAAGCACTATACTTGCAAACTCTAGATAGAAAACGGAATTCATTATCTATCTAGCACTGTTACAGCTCAACTACACGATCCAGTTCCTTAAAACTAAAATCTGGATATGTAAAATGACATATGGAGAGGCAAGCCTATTGGGCACTGAAAGTGTCAAATATCTATTACTTGAAATATTGATTTGAAACTTGAATCCCGTTTCTCTAATGACATAATTAGATGAAGAAATACCTTCTTCCAAATGCCCTCTAGTTTCACCAGATTTTTCTCGCTGCATAGTTCTCTCATCATTTCCTTCTTTTGCAATTCTAGGATTTCATGGGGAGAAGCTTCGGCAGGAGGAACATCTTCCGAGAACATATCACCAAGCTCCACATCCTCTGTAGAACCATCTGAGGCAACCAGTTCTTGTCCAGAGGAACTTGAAGGGAGAGCTTTGGGTTGAACCTCCTCAGATCTACCACTTCCAACAGATGTTTCATCCATGGTCGGGTCATCTGATGGCTGAAACGGAGTAACATCAGCACTTACTGACCCATCAATGTTATCAGGCATGGAAACAGTAAATCCTTCTTCAATAGTGCTGTTTAATGCTTGTTCACGCTGAAATTCTGATTCCAACATTCCTTCTGGAAGCCCTGGAGAATAAACACAGATAAATCGTGACATATTGCACCTTAACCGATTTACAGATTGATCACTGAAAAGATCAAAGTAACCTAGAGCAGATATCTCTTGCTTGAGCACAGATATGGCTTGGCCTGCTCGCTGCTGCCCTTTTTTATCACCTTTTTCCTTTGCTTTCATAGCATCCAACCTTGCCGCACAATAGTCTTTGACAATAACATCGAAATGCCTTGGGCCAGACACCTAGTATTGTAAGCAAGCACAGGATAACTCGAGAAAAAAATAAAATAAAACAAATTTGGCCCAGCAGATGGAGACCCAAAGTGGTTACCACCAATTTGTTGCAGCAATCCACTAAAGTTTGTATTTTGATATTCTAAATTGTGAAATCTAGAGCATTCTGGTTGTAGATCACCGTTACATTCACATTTAAACATTAATCACAGCGGAGGCATCGGAAAGAAAAATTAAAGGACGACTATACCAAAAGACTTCCATTTAATCACTTCACAGTTGTAAGATATTTATCATCAATGTCCTAAAAATCACACAGATGCGTTGTGTTTCAACCAGACATCAAAAGACCAGTAATTCTGCTGCAACTTACCTAAAAGACTTGACCTGAATGCATCTTACACAATAGCTCACACATTTGTTTCAAGATTAATGTGAAAAAATTATAAACAAAAAAGGATTGCACTAGAACAAATGGAAACAAAATGCAATTCATCCAAGAAAACAGAAAGAATAAAATAAATGAATGTCGCTGACCCAGTAATGACTTAACCCACGTTGCAACATTTCTCAGAAAAACATCCATTCATTATCTAAAATCAAGGTCTTCCACATATTACTCCTTCAACTTTTGTTAAAGACAAAAACCTCCAATTACAAAAAGCAAAATCACATGGGAAAAAGTATGTTTTAGTGAGATCCATAAACTTGACATGAACAGGAAAGTGCAAAGACTCATTAAATCCATGCCTGAGAGGATAAAGGATCAAGAATACAAGATCTCACAACTTGCCTTACTGAGATGGATAAAAGGAATTCTTCAAAGGGCCTAGGTTAAAAGTTTGCTTACCTCCTTGCCGAAGCCAATATCGTCTGCCTCATCTTCCCACGATTCCAATTCCTCCTGTGCACATCAAATGAGGAGCATTTGATTAGCAAAAGAACTAGGTATGTTTCACATCATATTGTGCCTTGAAGTTATTTTAATATAAAAGGCCAAACAAACCAAGATTAGGAAAGGTCGTAATACTGTCTATGCAGGAGAAAATGAGAGCACAAAACTAGAATTTCAAAACATTGCCTACAAGATTCTACTTATGGTCCTATAACTTGTTTCATATTTTTTGTGCCAGAACTTTCGTATATTGAAGCTTGTGGCAATTTCTTCATCCTGAAGACAATAACAGGTTTGAAACTGTTTAGAAGCATCAGGAATGTACATGTGTGTACCTCTTGTTGTCTTTCCATATATTGACGGATCCAATCAGCCTGAGATGATTGGCAAGAAGTAAGAGTATCTTGATCACGTTTGCCCTTTGCCTGAACTAAAACTTCAGGCTTTTCCTGCTCAAACCGGGCTGAAGAGTCTGCCGGCTCAACCCAATCTTCCCTTGAAATTGATATCACACCCACAGAACCGCCTGCAAAACCGAAAGGCAGACAAGTAGTATACTTCCTCCAGAGGATTGCATCATGAAAGGTTTTCATGGGCATGATGTAATGCATACCTTCGGTCGGAAACAGGGAAGTTCCAGTTGAAAACTTCAGAGGCAACTCGTGACTCGGCAAATTCAAGCAAAGCCAATCAAGGGCAGTTTCAAACGTCGCACCATCCTTACAACAACACAGATTTAACAAATTAGGCATATACCCAGTGAGGGGTGAAGCGAAACTAAACAGGAATGAGAATTTCCAACACTAATAACAACTCGCATTCCGTAGGATTAGAGCGAAAAACGTCAAAAGAAGGAAATTTTAACAGATTAAACATATGAGGAAGCGAATTACTCGGAGAGAAGAGAGAGCAAGCTCGATCTGATCATCCAAGAACCCTTCACAAGAGAGCTTCTCATACACATCTGTGAGTTTCTTCGCCTTCTGGGTCCTGGAGAGCGAACTCTGAAGTGGGTTCGGAGGCAGCGGAGCGGCGGAAGCAGAGAGGCCGGTGTTCAGCAAGAGCCGCCGCAACCGATTCTCGTTCTCCGCCGATATCTGCAACTTAGGAGCAGAAGAAGAGTTCTGCTTGTTTGGTTTCGAAGATGACGACGAAGAACCGGAGCTTTTCTTGCTCTGCTTTAGTGGTTTCTTCTTCGGAGCCATTTTTTGGATCAAACTCTCTCCGGCGGTTTCCTTCGAGAATGATGAACAATACGACGAACAGCCGCTTTTATTTTCCTCGGGGGCAATTTCTTTATAGAACAGAACGTCTTTAGTTTTTGTATTCAAAATGATACAATTCTTAAGAGATTAAAATAGGGCTCGCCAGAAATTTTACGAGTTTTTGTTTTTTTATCTTATTAAAAATATTATTTTATTAGCTTAACTTTCTGTGTATCACGAAAAATCAAAATAATTATACTTCTATTAAACACTAAATACAAAAAAAAATATTTTATTGGATATATAATTATTCTCTTCTCATTAAAGCTTTAAAGGTTCTACTTAAAATAATAAACAAATTGTTTCTAATAAAATTCAATAAAGAATTATTTATTTTAACCATAAGATAATATACCGAGATAAAATAAATAAATAAATACAACGGTTATCATCTGAGTTAATATCACATCAATCTAATTAAAAGCTACAAATCAAATAGGAATCAATGTAAAGCGTCAGAAACTGAGTTAAATAACGAAAATGGCAAATACGAAATAATTTTAATATTTGATTTCGATTATAATCATATTACCAATGAGTTTCGGTTTTTACCAAAACCTCACTATCTTTATGGTTTTTTTACGTTTTCGCCCTATTATTACTGTTCTTTTCAATTTGATTCATTATAATTTTCTATCTCAATATCACAGGTCATAGGAACAACTCTAAAATTATATACAATCATTTTTACAATATACCCTTCTAAAACTTCCTCCTACTTAATTTATGCCCCACTCTAAACCCTAAACCAATAATAAAACTTGAAATTCTATATTCTAAACTCCGAAATTAATTCTTAATATTTGGGATCTATGCTATGGTATAAATTTTAGAACTGGTTTAGTGATTAGAGTTTAGTATTTTAAAATATGTATAAATTAGTCATGATAAAATGAGGGGGGGAAATCAAAAATTGATAAAGTGACCTAGGTAGGAGATATTTATAAACAAATAAAATAACCAATAAATAAATAAATAAATATACATTAATTTTAAGTAAATAAACAAACAAATCCAGAAAAACGAATGAATCAAACAGGAGAAAACAAGTTAAAAAAAAAAAAAAGAGCAAACTCAACCCAGAAGAAGAGATAGAGAGTGAACCCATCAAGACATGTTTCAACTATGATATGATCAAATCCTTCCAAGTACAATTACTGCGAGTTACAACTTCTGTTTCTTGGTTAAAGTCATGACCGGTCGGAGGAGAACATAATGGATATGGGGTTTGCTCACTACTCACTTGCTGATTTGCTTGAGAAGCCCAGCAACAGATCCGCAATGTGTGGACTCGTATTTGCATCTCTCACAACAAGCCTGCAACAGTTCTATCACTCTCTTGCACCTGCACCCGGAACCCGATTTAGAAAGAAGAAGAAAAAAAAAATCACAACGACGATGTCTTAAAAGGACATCACAAAGAAGACGATGATCCATCTAAGGCCGGGATTGAACATTTATCTTATTTGAGCTGAGGAACCATCACCAGAAAGAAGCACATCAAACGCAATTGTTCAGTTGAGAATACAGTCAATATTACTCGGGTAATATAGTGTACAAGGGATCTCAAACCGATAGTTCTCGGCCACAAGGAAGTCCACAAGTCCGAGATCACTGAGTGAACTAAGGGCAGGCCATGACATTCTCCCGAAACCGTATATGCTTTTCTGAGATGCATTTGTGCAAGATTTCATCTATTGCCCACATATATTGCAGAATGCAGATGTAGAACCATGGAAAAAAAAAAGACATGCAAACAAGTGACAAGAGCTTCCAAGGACCAAATACCATCCTCACCTCAACAAGAGCTGATGATCAAATTCATCCGACCGCTCTATCTAATCTGGTTCAAAATCCTAACAGTAAAGTTTCCTCACAGGATTTCATTCATAACCCACCTTTCACATGTGGAAATTCATCACCAAAACCTCAGTAAGAAACAATAAAACCCCAAAACAGAAAGCTAATAGGACAGTGATAACTGATAAGCAATGCAAACCCGTGAGTACCGTTATTTGTCTCGAGCTTTCTTTCGAAGACGAAACTCGAGAAATCATAAGCGCACCCCAGAAACCAAAACAAGAAATGACAGGAGACAGCAGATGTAGCAATCCAACATTACCATTCAAACTTAAAAAGTACCTAATCTCAAATCTTGATCCTTTATACTCCAAAACTAATTTCACAGACATTAAGAAAATGATCATATATCTTTCAGAATAACCTCTTCACTTTATATTTACCCGAAATTCACATGATTACACTGAAACGTTTCTAAGAAGAGAACAGGTACGAATCAGAATGAAGGAGCAAAAAGCTTAGAAACACATGACAAACCATGGAACAAGTTTACTTCTCTTTGATACAGAAACAAACCCTAATCCCCATATATATCGAAACCCTAACACAGATTCTCAATTCCAATGAATCCGTAATTCTTTCGAGAAACTCGATAATTTAGCAATCAATCCATCCTCGGAATGGATTTCGCAACCGATCCGGACAAGAAATTGTCTAACCCAAAATCAAATCTACCTCCATGAGTGTCTAGGTTACGAGAATCAAACGAGAAAACAAAAAGAAATACCTTTGAGGAAGAAAATTGTTCTTCGAAAGACAAGCTTGGATATCGCAAGCCTCTTTCTTGCAAGGTTCTTTGCTTGGCTGCGCCATTCCCCTCTCTCTCTCTCTCTCTCTCTCTCTCTCTCTGTACCGAAATTTGCAGCTCTAAGGTTTCCCGATCACCGACTGTGACGGACGGAATCTATGCCGGCAACAAAACTATAATTTTGATTTTCTTTGTATATTTCGATATTCATTTTAATATTTATAATTTGTAGATAATAATAAATAACATAATACTAATTAAAAATCTTTTTATTTTTCACCCTTTTTGTATTATTTGTCACAATATTACATTATTAACGTTTTTCCTTTAGTATATGTTAATTATTAACAATTCGATTTGTTGATTATTGAAAAAATTAAATATTAAAGTATGAAATATACTTTATACATTATATTACAAACAAATTAAAATTATTAATTATGTAGAAAAATATAATACGGATACATCTCAAATAAATTATTTAAAAAATAGAAAGAGAGGGAGATAGAGGACAAAAGCTTGGACTAAAAATGTTGTCTTTGTGTCTCTTTCTTGGCCACGAAAATAAATAAATGCATGATTCCCAAATGTGGGTTAATTTAATCAATATATAATCATTTAATTATTTAATCCATGATAATTAAAAGGAAACTTCCAATTGGCACCACCAGTAGTGCTAAACGAAAGATATGTTTTTTTACTTTATATAATTTGCTACAATTAAAAAAAATGACAAGAACATAAACGATAACACTATCTCAAATTAGTCTGTTCACGTTATGCTTTTTATATATGATTTTCCTAATATTGATTCACGCCATAATTTTCCTTTGGTGGCAGATTAGTAATTCAGCAGAGTTATAGGTATTATTTTATTATAGAAGGGACCTCATGACTTCTACACAAATTTACCATGTAAATGATTTATTATGAAACCATCGTTAGGGACTTCATTTAAGAAAAAAGCATCGTCGTTAGTAATTCATAATTTAAGGACACCTATGCATGTAAAATATAGATTTAAAATGCGCCTGATAAGGGTTTTAAAGATGTTTAAGGGGGGGTTTTATCAAAAATACCCCTATTATGCTACAAAGACTTCAAGACATACCCTGCAAAAATAAAAAAAAAGTTAGTTCAAAACATACCCTTATAATTATGTTATTCCCATAATACCCATTGGCGTGGGTCCCAATGACAGAAACAGAAGAGAGAGAGAACAGTTTTCGGTTCCCTATGAAAAAATTTAAATATTTTAAAATTTTTAAAACTCCCTCCACCACAAAAAGTTAAAATTTTCGCGTGAATTTTAAAATTTTTCGGTGTGACCAGCGTGACCAGTGTGCCCAAGTGACCAGTGTGACTAGTGTGACCAGTGTGACCAAAACTAAATTTTGAACGGCGTGACCAGTGTGACCAGTGTGACCAAAACTAAATTTTGAACGGCGTGACCAGTGTGACCAGTGTGACCAAAACTAAATTTTGAACGGTGTGACCAGTATGACCAAAATTAAATTTTGAACGGTGTGACCAATGTGACTAGTGTAACTAGTGTGACCAATATGACTAATATGACTAGTGTGACCAAAACTAAATTTTGAACGGTGTGACCAGTGTGACCAAAATTAAATTTTGAACGGTGTGACCAATGTGACTAGTGTAACTAGTGTGACCAATATGACTAATATGACTAGTGTGACCAAAAAAAATACACGATTCACTCTAAAAATCATAAAACTCAAACCCAAAACACAAAGTTTATGCATCGAATCAATCTCTTGTATTAATGAACTTACCTTCAGTTTTTGTCATTTGTTCTGTCTTAGACCGACTCAAGAAGAAGATATGAGGTCGTCGGTGAAGATATGCTCAACGAAATAACCATTTTTCGTTTGTTTTTCTATGTATAAAAATGAAATGAGAAGAGAGAAAATGAAAGAGTTGAGAGAAATATAAGAGTAGAGAGAGAAAGTTAAGAAAGAAATGAAGAGTTATCAAAGAATGAAAATGAGAGAGATGAATTCAAAATGAAGAGAGGAATACCACGTTACTTTTTGTGAGAGGGTTAATTATGTCTTTTGTTCCTTTTATTTTTTTTTCTAAAATTTTAGGGTTTTGGAGGGTAGTCCGTGAAGTCTATGTAGCAAAGTAAGGGTATTTGTGCTATATTGCCGATTTAGTCAATGTCATAATAGACAACCAATCCTCTTACAAATACTAAATTACGAGAAAATAAATTTTCAGATATTATAATATGAAAAAAAAAATACTAAATCGTACAACAGAAAACAATAGCAATAAAACCAAAATAAAAAAAGAGAAAATTCCAAAAAAAATACTGGACTTTTTCAATTTTGACAAAAAAAACACTCAACTTTATTTTTTATCAAATAAACATTAAATTTTTTAAACGAATCTAAAAAATACTGAATGATCCAAAAAATACATGAATTTTTCTCCGATTATCAAAAAAACACTAAACTTTTTTTAGTGATCCAAAAAAATACATGAACTTTTTTCGATTGTAAAAAAAAACTAAGAAAAATAATCTGACGTGTTTGCATCTGATTGTGTCATGTCAGTCATTTTGTTTATTTTGACGATAGTTGAAGAGTTAAGTGTTTATTTTGTCAAACTTAAAAAGTTTAATGTTTATTTGATAAAAAATAGAATTCAGTGTTTTTTTGTCAAAATTGAAAAGTTCAGTGTTTTTTTTGGGATTTCCCCAAAAAAAAATGGTTGGGATACCCACAAAAGGAAGACGAGCTGTATAGATATAAAAAGAATTTGTCTAAAACTAAAGTGAAAACCAAAGACATGGTTGTGTAGTGTTGTGTCCAAATGCATTGATATGAATTATGTCTTCTCAGCCACCATTCCAACAGTCAGCGCATGCAACGCACTTCTCCCGTCTAATAGAAAACCCTCTCTATAACCAAGACACTGAGCTTGAGAAGTCCCCAAAACATTAGGTTTTACATCAACGAAGGGCATAAAAACCTAAGAAACTTGAATTTTTAAATGAGTCCTTGGCGTTGCAAATCAGTGTATGTCTTCTTGTTGTAGATGTTACCTTCCTGATCTTCGTATTCTTCTTCCAAATCCGGTCTCCATTTGTTCACTCCTTGCCTTTCTTGTATCCTTTTCCACAACTCTTTCGCTTCCTGCAGGAAAAAAGAGAGTCCAAAAACGTCATATCTCGGTTTGATGAAACACCCGTGGGTTCACATAGATTAACAAGAATTAAGAATTTAGTTCTGGAGTCTCACGAAAGCACAGAAAGTTCGATGGTAGAAAAAATGATGTACCTCAATAGAAGTGATCTCGTTGAAGTTTTTCGTATTTGGAATGCCAAGGCAACGCATGCCATGCTGGTGACGCCATTCTTTGAAATGCCTCTCGAACGCCCTTCTTCCCCAGTAGCTATAGTTCCCACATATCTCGCATTTGAATTCCTGTAAAAATGCACGAAAACGTATAATATGATCTTGCAGCATCTAACCGATGATCACAACAGTGTTTGTTCATCTCAATTTGTGATAGTGTCATAAATGATAAGCTATGAGAACATGAAATACCTGCCCAAGGCCGTGAAGTTTGTATAGCCAGTAAGGTATAGGCTTCCCATCCCAACCCATAGGCAACTTAAGAGGATTGTAAATCTGTTGGTCCTCATCGTCGCTTTCAGATTCAACATGAGTTTCCTCCTGCAAGAAAATTTTCAACAAGGGCAACAAGAAACTAAGCACAGTACTCCCAATTTTGTGTCAAAGGACAAACCAATGAGATTTAAGTTGTGGACACAAAACAAAGGGTAACAATTCCCAAATTAAGCTTAGCAGTAATAAAAAGATTTTTACCTCCTCACGTTCTGCCTCCATCTCTTCATACGTCAAAGCCTGTTTCTTTTCCACATTTTGTTTTGTCCTCACAATTGTCTGTAAAACAAAGAAAACAACTAAATAACCCCCAAAAAATAACAAAGAAAATGGGTTGAATTGTGCCACAACTAAATAAATAAGAGTTTCTCTCAACTAACCTCCTCAAGTAAACTGCAGAGTTTCTTCACCTTGGCCTCCATTAGGGCAATCTCTTTAGCACTGTCTGTTTCTTGCTTTGACTTGGCAAAGCCGTTTTGTTCGACAGCACGTGAAGGTTTAGCAAAATGTTTCCTGTCCAGCTTTTCCAGAGGTGTGTGCTGAAATATAAGAAGGAAACAACTGTGTGAGTAAGAGGGGATGTATTTTCATTGGGGACCCAAAATGAAAAGATTAAGCCAATAACATAACGCCTCAAACAAGATTCTATACAAAAGGAAACCACCAACACGATGAACTACACTAACAAAACATAGCATTTACTCCAGCAAGAGCAAAGTTGATTCCTCTTTCAGAAAACTGAACAGAAACAGATTACCAGAAAGTAGCAACATAGAGCATAATAATCGAAGGAAAATGAGTCCCACTATCATAGTAGAAATATATCGCCCGACGAGAGATGAACTGCAAATGAAATACAGTTCTTGGAAACCATAGCTGGTGTACAAACCTTAGTCAGGAAAAGTCTCTCTGCACGCTGCTGCAGTGTCCCACCAGTCTTCAGTCCTAATGCACCCAAGGCCTGAACAGCACAACAGATGTAAAATGAGGGGAAAGGAAGATTTACACAACAATGCAATGCAAGAGGCATATTAATGAAGCATCATCATTACTACCTCCTTTAGCTTTTCCGGTCCTATTTCCATCAGCTCCTCGACTGTGCTGTAGTAATCAAGATCCATGACCGTATGTTGTGGTGGAACATCCCCATTTTCCTGGCCACGATTCTCCCAGCCTTCTAATTTGCCATCTGCATATTTTTGCTCAAAATCAGAGACAACCTGAGAGAAACAACATATTAATCAGAGCAGGATACAAAATAAACCAAGAATAATGGTATACACAGCAAAGACGCATACAGAAAAGAAGGGCATATGCCACAACCAGAATGCAAACTCGATACGGTTCATGCCTCATGAACATGAAAGCTCTACAGTTTATGCATATAACGAAGAAGAAATTTTAAACACCGACTGCACCTAATTATTGATCCATTACTTCCATGACACCCATCATCATTCGGGGTAAAAACACTCTCAATTTCAGAAGTTGCTAGAGCTAAACAAACCCCTGCAACTATCACACAAAACTAGTTGAGAAGCTAACGGGAAAATTTCAAAGGCGTGTAGGGTAGCAGCCTTATAACAAGCATTAGTTCAAAAACAGACAGAGAATCCCGTTTCGCAGCAACAAAGTTGAACATTAAAAACAAAATACAAAGGAAGAAAGAATGAACCTCTGAAAGCTTTCTATCAAGGTCTTCCAACGGTTCAGTTCTCTGGAAAAAGTATATCAAATACTCCATCAGGTTCTCCATATACTCCCTGTATTGCCTACAAAGGCAACAAGACCAACACGAAAGATAATAAACTTCAAGTACAAATATTAATGGATGGTTTACTAGAAGAAAAATCAGAGAAATGATTACCTTGTCAACTTCAGTTTACGAGGTATTTTCTCTGGTTGAGAAAATACATCAAGGTAAGCAGAATATTCAATGACATCTCCAAATTTAGAGTTGATATACTGATTATACATCTCGTGCAAGTCCAAGTATCGCCCAAAGGCTTCCTACATAGCAGACAGGAACATTTGACAGTTTGAGAGAAGCGCTATAAAATAACATGAAGCAAGTAAAATTGAACAAATGGGTAAATATAATACAGTATTGAGGGGAAAACAAAAGAATAACGTCTGTTGTAAATAATTCAATGAAATGTTGAAAAACAATAACCCGTTCAAGCAATAAAGTTAAAGTCAAACAAATAAACTTACCTCTCCACTGAACTCAATAACAGGTTCCTCCTTAAGGAGTGCTTCATAGTCCTCGTTGGGATCAACAAGACGCCCAGAGGGATGCTTTCTATGATATTCACGTATCTGCAGGGTCACAGATGAATGTATGGGTAGTTTCATATCCAAGCAATTCCACCAAGGAAAAGGTGTAAGCATAAAACAGAAGTCGAGAGTGGTTTCAGTGTGCTAGCTAGTTTCAGATTAGAGTGTATCAACATATCACGGCTTGAAAAACATAAAAATTTGAATCCTAATCTAGGTTTTCAGCTGTATTCAGATACATCCCCAATCTGAAATCAAAAGTAACCCTTGTATCACAGCATGTTATGTGACTCTTTAACTCTTAAGAAATCCAGTAAAGTGAAGCTCATAGCAGCCAGCTTTTCATAACAGAGACTGTATATACACCTACAAGTCTGCGATCTGACTCAACCACTGTTGGAACTCAGGACAAGCTAAATGCCATACTCACTAGACACCAGCAGCCAAAAACCAAAAGTCAAGTAATGCAAGTGTTCATCCTGAAGTAAATTATACTCTCATACACTTATGCTGATAATTATTAGAAACTTAACCACATAAATCAAAGTAGAACCAAGTCTGGCCCAAAGCAAATTCAAGTTTGAAGATGTGTATATGAGGATCAAATAAAGAGAGAAAAACCAAAGTAAGAGAATAAAAAGGTAACAAACCTCTTTCAGTCTATCGTAAAAGGCACTAAATACATTTGTCCCTGTTGCAGTCTGTCCACCAAGAGCTGCAATCTCATCCTTCCTTGCATTATCTTTATCTTCATAGATTTCAACCTTAGGGCCAGCACAAATACATCTTAGCTTTAATCCAAGCCGCAAACGATACGATCTATAAATCCAGGGAGTTTCTATAGCACAGTTTACTTAAATTTATGAACACAACAAAATAAATTCTCATATACCACACAATGAGTTCAACAAAACGTTTTTTAGAAAATAATCTTAGCCAGATGATATACCAATTTTCATAACAATCGTGGGAAATAATTAATATGCTTAGCTCCAAATTTACAAGTACTAAACGATACCAAAAAATTTCAAGTTGAACCTATTGACAACAAATTCAGAACTTCTAGTCCTTTTTTTCCGAAACTCAAACATGGGAGATGTTTAGTCTGAGATTAACTTCCACAACGACGCACCAGAAAACTTAAAGCTTAATTTCTAAGAGAACCCATTAACCCTAATTATTTGATAACACAAAAAGCATAATCCTAGACTGAAGTGCTGCTGCAGGCATAGCTCAGCCAAAACAAACCTACCCTCAAACCACTCAGCAACTCTCAAGTTTCAAAACAACCAACCAGAAAAGCAAATTTTAACATAACTTTCAGTTAAGCCATAAGAATAGGCCCTAATCCAGGATTCTATGCGAGCATACCCCGACAAAATCAGGCCGAAAGATAGGAGACGGGAAAACTTACGAGTTTCTCGGTGGTCGACATGGCGGTTTCAATCATGTTACGAACACGGTGTTGTTGCAGCAACCGATCCTTGCTCGTCGGCGGCACGTTCTGGAGATCCGTCACCACGAGCCGCTCCAATCTCTCTACCTCCTCGTGAGCCGCGCGAGTCACCTCGAGGAGAGTCGCTGACATCTTCGCTGCTCTTCTTCTTCCACGCTTTTCTGGATTCGTCTCTCTCTCTCTCTAGTCTCTGCAATCCGAAATGTCGCTTAAGTTTGGCGGACAAGAACTTAATGTTCCAAAAATTATCTTTTGGCCCCTTAATTTTATGATGTATAACAAATTATCTTAATCCTTTTAATTTGTACAACGACACCCAATTTCCTTATTGTTTTGGGAAAAAAAACACTAATTACAAATGGATTTGTCGAAGAATACATGAATCATACTAACAACCGTTAATATCATGAACATAAATGATTGCTGATTTCTAACATAAAATTTGTCTCGATAACAGAAAAACGAAACTAAAACCACTGTAAGGGAACATTTTATTAACTCAACTGTAAAATAGAGAGTGAGAATGGTGGCTCTCCTCATGAAAACTGACAAAAACAAAACCAAACATCCCAGGTAATGAAGTTCCAGCAAAACCAGAACTGAGACAGGACAAGAAACAAGAAACAAGAGAGTTCAAAACAATGGCTCGAAAAGAAGAAACTATAGATCGGAAAAGAAGAAACTCTCATGTTGATTTGCCGGCAATGTTCTTAGAAGTCGAGCAGCCGCCTGTTAGCGAGAGATTCTTGGTGAGATTGACGAGAGAAGACGGCGTTTTCTCCCTCCGATGAACTTCTCTTCTTTCTCTCCTTCTCCTATCGCCTTCGATCTCATTCTGCAGAGACAAAAATGCGACAACGTGAAGAGAGATTCGCCAAAAAAAAAAACACTTTGGATAGGGAAGTGAAGATTTTTTTTTTTTTTTTTTTTGCGGGAATTACATCAAAGTCGGTGTCTTTGTAGAAATCCATGCGTAGAGTAGCAGCGGGTTTATTCGCCTTCTTGGCTTTGAGGGCTTTCTCACGTTCTTCATAGAAGTCCATATCATCTAACAACGATGATCCCACTGAATATTTCTTGAATATGGTAAGCATTCTAAGACCTTCTTTAAGCTTTATCTGCGTCACGAAATCGGATTTCCGACATGAAAACTTGTCTTTTAGCTCTTAAGGAAGATCAAAATGTTAGCATTACGGGAAACAGTAACAACAGAAAGTGCACTCTTGAAGTTTATTCAGTTCACAGTATTCACCGATTTCTCTAAATGCAGGTGAACTATGAGAAAAAATTTACAGCTTTTGTGGGTCAGAATGAAGGGGAAAAGAGAAAAGAAAACAATGGACTTGTGAAGGTACCTCGTGAGTATCTCTGGTATGAGTTACGGGCTTGCCCTCGTTGTTATCGAGGGTAATATGGCGTAGTTCACTGTTGGGGATGTCCTTAATAATATGCCATTGTACCGGGAAAAAGCCGGTCCATTTATCGACTTGCCAAAAGTCCAAATCCTTATTGAAGTCTACATATCCGACCATCTCAGCTAAGCCAACGAATTGCCTACTTGCATTAGCCTGAACAAACAAAATCGAAAATTGATGACAGCACAAATAAGATGTTCTTCTTGCTTATTGATAATCGAATGATTTAAGTGCTAACAAAACTATAAAAAAAGCGCTCACCGAGAAGAATAGGAAGATTGGTCGCTTCTTCCCATCCTCACATGATTTTTCTTCAGCTTCACGGAAAGCTGCATCGAGCTTCTTATTCCCGTTTGGTGTACTTGACCATACCGAATATTTGATACTCTTGTGGATGTCATCTTCACTATAAGACTTGATGACATAAAACTTAGCATCCTCGTACTCTGTCTGAAAATCAGGGAGGTTGAACATTTCTTGACGAATTGCCAGTCCAAACAGACTATCTTTCTTGACGGATGACTCCGAAGAATGATTCTTTGCATCGGTCCTTGGACCAACAGTTAGTTCAACTGTGGCATCGGACTCTTCGTTCCTGTCAGGTTTCCTGGACCGATCTCTGGGAACCCATACACCACCGTTTGAGTTTCCGTTCACATGACCATTATATGGACCAGAACCTTGCTTTGGGTCAGCAAATCTTGGAAATTGTCCTGCAGCCTGTTTTCCCTTCAAAAACATAATTAAGCATCCAAATAAAAAACTTTTCACATAACAGCCATCACTCAAATCAATTTATTATAACCGCAATAACACGGTTTTCTTTCATGTTATGCAGAAACCTTGAAATTATTTTTATCACTCACTCCTGCAAAGAAAAATGAGTTTCCTATTTACTTAAGTACCTTATTTTGCGGTTCGAAAGCCTGTGCATGAGTATTAAGGGGAAGTCTAACAGAACCATTTCCATTTGATTCCAAAGGAATAGAGCTATTGGAATCAGAACCTTGAGGAGTATAGGGACCCGATGTCGGATTCTCGGACTTACTACCGTTTCCCTGTGGTAAATTTGTGGCATACGCCGAATCCCATGAAAAACAAGCCTCAGGTCCATACGATGGAGCATAGTACGGTTGTCCATCATACCCCATGTATGGTCCAGTCACATATGGGTTAAACCCGTACGTATAATAAGCGTATGCATCATAGTTCAAATGACTTCCCTGGTATTGACCCAAAAATTCAAAGATTTAACAATGTCACAGAATGAAATTAGAGCAGAAAGATAAAATACGAAATTACGAATACTCTGGAATTGAGTTGAATACGAGATCATCATCACTGACCTGAAAATTGCCATTTTGTTGAGGAAAGGTTACACTAGATCCTGTGAAAGCACATCACAAGCCACAATATTTTTAGGAAAAAAAAATATAATACATAATCTAATATGCAAACATAAAAATAGAGGAGAACGGACTATATCGAAAATTGCATAAGAATGAAATTCAGGCACCGATACTACCAGACTATTAGGTAGATCACAAAATGGGAAGACCTCAAGAATTTGCCTTACCATTAGCAGAAGTAGTAACACCCATAGAAGCGGTAACAGGAGCTGTAACTTTTGGATTTGTGCCATCAGTCAGAGAAGGAGACTGCAAAGATAACAAATAAATATATTATATCTCATCGAGAAATAATCATGAAATCGACATAAAAAGTATGGCTAAATTATTTTCAATACCGCATCCTGTTTCGCTGTCTTAGTATCAGTCTCAGGTTCCAGTCCAGCAACTGCAAGCTCAGCTGGAATTATGGTTAAGGGGAGAAAAAAATTTGTAAGCAATTCAATCCAACTTTGGCGAAGAACTCAAAATAAAAACTCGACGAACAGCCCAAAACAAAGGACTTTAAACCAACTTTTAGTCCAGAGCATGATTTGACCACTAAGAATTTCCGGATCATAAAAACCATCTATTCAGACAGTAAATATCCTATTACGGTTTTCCACTCCAGAACCTTTATTTTGAACGCCATGGCAGAAAAAAATTAAAGAAGGAACATGATCATCGAAACCATATATCTACTTCCACCCAAATAAAAAGGTATCAGACAGAAAGAAACCCATCCATACTGTCAGCCGGCTCGCTTTCAGTTATAAACACAGCAAATCTAATATCATGCTTCACAACCCATGTCTTTAAAACAGGCATATGAAACTATCAACAAAAGCATTTAAAGTTCAACTCTATCAGATCCAATAATAGAAGAAAATCTAGAGGAGATAGCCGACGATACTATTGCAGAAAATGATACAATTTGTACCTTTATTCTCAGTGTCCATTATCGATCTTCAGGATCCACTGCAAACCCTCGAAGAGAGAACCCAAATATAAGAAGAGCGCAGAGACACGTTGAAGGGGTATTATGGAAAATGTAACAATCTAGTTATGGTAATCAACTAAAATCGTTTACAACTATGATTGCATGTCATTTCCTTTCGAACAAGGTCTATAAAACGAAAGAAATAAATGCCGAGTCCACAGAGTATATTTAATAAGAAAGAACAATATCTAATAGAATTTGGATTATGATAATTGAATCAGGCTTTGGGCTAGATATCGAGTGGTTATACTAAATTCAAAAGGGCCGTGACAATCCCGGCCCTTTAGTCGATCTGCTAGGCCTATGTCTGTATTCACTTGAGATCTCAGAAGACATTCATCAGCCAGAAAGCTACTCGCTTCACACACAAGACAACCGATTCTCCAAACTAATAAAAAAATTACCTTTATCTGAAAGGCAAACTAGACAAAAATTGATGTACCTAGTGAGATGTTCTACCAAAGGAAGAAATACACCAACTATGCTTCTACCATTCCAAATCAGGAAGCTCAAAAAGCAACTGAAAACAGAATGTGCAAAAGAAATACTTGTGTTGGTCCCCAAGAAAACAAAAGGTGTAATCAACAACTCAACTTTAAGATATCCGGGACGAAAATATCATCCAATGGCTTGAGTTTCAACGCAACAGAACTGCCTATGTTATACTGCATACAAAAGACTCAACCTAATGACCATAACAAACAACTTTCTGCATCTTCAATCTTCATCAGATTCTCCGAGCGATCCAAGAATTCACATATATAAATTACAGGAACACAACACACCACAGACAAATGTTAACTGCCCTGTTCCTATGATAAAAAAGGAAAGTTCAACACGACAAAGATACCACATAAACTCTTATAAACCAAAATTAGAAAGTTCATAAACACAAAGGCACAGACTTTAGAGGAAAAAGAAAATGATAGGCCAGAAATCTCTAGTAATATGGATGCACCAAAAACCTCTCCTATTCAGCAGCAGGTTCCTCATCAGAGTTTCATTACAACATCGGTTTCATTACAACAAAATCAATAATATGCACTAGCATTCGAATCAAACGATAGATTCTGAGGAATTTGTACAGAAGAATTCGAAATATAATCGGCGCCAAAGCAAAGCGAATTATCAATTACGAACGGAAACCCAGGAAGGAGAAGAACAAAACCTGGGTGTAAACGGACAACGGAAACCGGATTCACCGTCAGGTGACCGGAAAAGTCACCGGAAAGTCAGTGGAAATCGAGTGGAGAAGGGGAAAATGGTCTTTTGCATTTGCACGCGGAGTACGAGTGAGGCTGTAGAGAGCGGGAGCGTTGCAGGGCGATGGAGAACCCTCGCATGGAAGGAAAGAATCGGACGGCTGAGATTTACTTTTAGCTTTTTAATTAAAAAAAGAACGTTGACCGTTGGATTTTGGTTTGACTTCTTTAGTTTTTCACTATATCCGAATGAAATTATGATACTATCAAAAGGATTCCAATGATCATATTCAGATATTAAAAAAATTTATCCTTGTAGATTTGCATATAAAATTAATTTTCTAGTATCTATTATTAATATATATATATATATATATTGTGAATTATCAAATATTCTAAAGTTTCAATATTTTTCTTTTCTAACTCAAAATTTTGTGAGACCTTTTCATTATTTTCGCATAATTTCATAATCTCTTAAATTCCTTAGAAACATTTTTCTAAATTAACTTAGTAAGTAACATAGAAATATAGAATCCAACTAACTTTTGGATTTGGATTGAAGAACTAAAAAATGGTTAGGTTTTCCCCGTGACGTGGCATATTATTGGGCCCAAGCCCATAATTTCGGAGGCCCATTTCAGAACATTACATATATCTGCCTTCCCAATCTTCTCGTGTCAGCAAAAGGAAAGAGAATTCAAAATTTGAACTGCTGAGAGAGAGAGAGAGGCTATGGCGACAACAGGAAAGAATCTCAAAGGTTTCTTCAGGCAAAAGAAGAGCAATGTCACCGGAGGCATCTCTAAGTCCAAGTCTTCCCGGAAAGTTTCTCCGAAGCACGCCGCTACTCAGGGTTCCGATGTTACCCAACCGGCGGCGCTGATTGCTCACGGCACAATCGATCTCAATGGTAAATCATTTCTTCTCCATGGTGACTGTACGAATAAATAGTTTAGTTCGATTGCTTAGGGTTTTGATTTTAACGTTTATGGGGTTCAGAATGTTTTTCGTTTGGATTCCGCGGGAATCGAAGTTTCTTTCTTGTTTCCCTGGAAAATATTGGTTTTTTCTCGTTCTTCACAGTTGCGTGTGCGTTTGATATTGAGATGCTCAATTTTTGGATTCTTGATGATTTTCCCCAAATACTGACTCCAATCTTTTATTCGTTAAAATGATCCGTAAAAATTAGAAAGGAATTTAGGGTTCAGTTCTCATTCGCAGCAGAGATTTAGGGTTTTATTTTTCTGAGAACATTCCAGAAGACTATGTGATTGATCTTAGTAGGCATTTTCCGCAGCCAATTTCATGGGCTCATACTACTTTACCAGTGATATGATATAACAATTGGAGTATCTACTTTTGTTTGTTGATGTTGAACAGATGATTATGACAAGAATGAAGAGATTCTGAGGCAATTTGACATGAATATGGCTTACGGTCCATGCCTCGGAATGACAAGACAGGCTCGTTGGGAGCGAGCTCGACGTTTGGGAATGAACCCGCCAAATGAAATCGAGAGCCTTTTGAAAAACGAGAAGGTTCAACAAGAATGCCTTTGGAACGGTCGTGTCTAAATGTTCGCCCCACGTTATCTATATCAGTGAATGATGATGCAATGCCTTCACAGATCCTTATTCAGCCACCGGCTGTGCGTTTGGGTAGTTCTAGACTTCTAGTGTGAAACCATAGAGTTCTTGTGTGTTAAACCTTTATCTTGGCAATGCAATTGATCTTATTGCTATGCATAATCAATGGAAGAATGAATCTTCAGCTGCACCTATTGTGTCTTGTAACTTTACAAGGCGTCTATAGTTACAAAGTTTCTCCTACCAATTCCAATACGAAGCTGATCATTCAGTTGCAAAGTGTTACAACATGGCAATGGGTAGCTTGTCAATGGGTCGATGGCTTGGAAAGACACGGAAAGCGAGACGCAGCGACACACCAAGCTCAGAGGCTCAAGCCGCCATGGCCTCAAGACAGAACAAGATTCCCTGGTACCACGCTTTCCGCATGCTTGACCGCAGCTTTTCTAATCATTCTCTTCGTTTGATTCACTTCACTGACCGCACTGCATAAATCTTCCTCGTTCCAAGCCATCTATGCTGATAAACAGAACTCTACTTCCACACTTAGGACCGATCTGTAAGACAGATAAACTAAATTCATCACAATGCCCACAATTACACAACCCCTTCCCTACTATACAGTCAAACTATTAGAAAGGCTACAGCTTGGAGAAATTTATCTCAGAATTGATAGTGGCTACGAGGAAGAGAGGAACTGCATTGATCATGGAAATAACACGCACCTTAACAAGTCGACGAGCCAGCCGAAGAGAGATCTAAACAGCAACAGCAGAGCCAGTTACATGATGCTTTCTTCAGCACCAGAGCATGTTGCTTGTCAAAAATCACCGAATCTTGTGCTTTTGCGAAGGTTAGAACTTGACAGAGGCATTAAACAGATGTCCATCAATATCTGGAACAAACCCTTTATCCATCATTTCTGCTCTTACAATTTCATATGTCCTCCTGTTCGGAACCAGACCCTTTTCCAACATCTCGTTCAAAAGCCTGTTTGCATCTTCCAGTTTCCCCTTCTTGGAATATCCCTCTATTAACACATTATATGATGCAACATTCATCCACCGCCGCCCGTATTTCTCCATCTGTCTCCTCACATCCAATGCTGCTTTCAGATTTCCTTCCCTACAGTATCCTTCCATCAGTATATTATACGTTAGATGCCTCGGTTTCAAACCCGTATTGGATATTTCATCCAAGAGTCTCTCCGCCTTTCTCGATTCTCCTCTGCTGCATAAACCACTCATTAGAATGTGATATGTAACGAGATCCGGTTTGAGCCCTTTAGTAGTCAGTCCATCCGCGAGTTTTCTAGCTGCACGTATCATTCCCTTTTTGCATAGACCTGCAGCCAAGCAATTATACGTCGATATATTCGGGAAAACCCCTTCCCGTTCCATCGTTTCTTTCAGATCAAACCCGTCATTAATTTTTCCAACCTTACAAAGTGCATCAATCAATGTGTTATACATTGTTACAGACGGACCAATTCCTCGGCTTTTAACATCCTCAAACATCTCACAAGCTTCACTTAGCATGTTATTCTTGCAATGCCCATTTATAAGAGAACTGTAAGTGATGACATTTGGTTGCACACCTGCTTTCACCATCTTATCGAGCCAACTGATAGCCTCGGTTACTTTTCCTTCGCTACACAAGCCATGTATCAATGAGTTATAAGTGATCACATTCGGTCTCACATCTTGACTCAGCATTTCGTCGAAAAGCTTCATAGCAGCTGGAAAGCTCTCATCTTTCCAGAACCTATCAATCAACGTATTGAACGTAGTCACATTCGACTCTATCTTGTTTGCTCCCATCTCCTTCAAAATAGCGTCCGCTTTGTACATTTTCCCAATACCGCCCCTCTTGCAGTACCCACAAAGGAGAGTGTTGTAACTGATTATGTTTGGAGAAACGCCCCATACTTTCATGTCTTCCATTACATCCCTAGCCTTATTCATCCTCCCGGCTTTGCACAGACCATTTATCACAATATTAAAAGTAACCAGATTTGGCTGAATCCTTCTCCTAATCATCTCTTTGTACACATACTCAACATCTTCAATCAGATTCTCCTTCACCAAAGCATTCAACAATGGCTTACAAGACAAAGCCGATAACTTATACCCATAATCACCCGCCCGCTTAAACGCTTCAAACGCCAACTGGTATCTCGAGTTATTTGCATACGCCAACACCAGCATATCAGCAATTACTGAATTAACGGCGAAATTGCAGCACATTGACGTAGCATGAAAGATGGAATGCACTGAGTGGTCTGGTCCTTTCCGGACAAACCCATCAAGGAAAGATCGAATCTTTGGGTACTTGTTTGCATTTGCAAGAGAATGTAAGACCCTAACGATGAGCTCCAACGAAACGGAGAAATTAAAGCTCTTCACCGACCATGTATAATACCTGAGACACAGAATTGGGTCAATCTCAGAACAGAGTAAACTATGAAGGAGTTCGTTCGGATTTCTGTCTTTCGTATGAAATCTGAGCTTCGACCATTGCTGCTTCTCTATCAGACCAGCGATGATAGCTATATCGTCTCTGGGTGTTGTTGAACCAGGGCTTGCGACGATTGTATCTGAAGAAGAACACAATCTATTTAAAAGCATACATTTTCTCGGGAAAATATGGATGCATCCAAGGATCTTCCTTCGAATTACTAGGGACTTTGGGAACATTGAGTTCCAGATCGATCGAGAGAGAGAGGAGGGGGGAGATTTTGGATTTTAGGGTTTTGCAATGCTAAACCCTGGACAAGAAAGTCCAATTGTAATTTGGCAATTAGGAAATTCAATTTTACGAAATTCACCCCAAAGGTTATTATCCTTGCCAAATGTAGCACTTATTCTGTAAATTTACAAAATCCTCCCTGAAACTTTTAGGAACTATATTTTCAATTTCTCATGAACATAATCAATGATATCCTATTGGTAATAGGGGTGTTTCGGTAAAAACCAGAGACCACCAGTAAAAATCAGTCCGGATCACAAATGGGGTCGTTAAGAATTTTTGAACGGTTATATTTAAAAAAATAAACTGAATAAATCAAATATAATCGAATCGAATATTAAACATTTTTCTGAACTGAACTAAACATAATAATCAATCGAATGATATATATTTTTTTATAATCAGATAACCCAAACCGAATAAATATCAAATCGAAATCGAACCGAAGAAATTATTTATAAAAAAAAAACATAACTTATCAATTTGTTTCGAAATAAAAATTGAACTTATATGACGGGGTCATCTTGAAACCTGAGAAGCGATGGCATGGCACTCTAATGTACATCAAAGTCAAATATTTTGTTTGACCCTTTATACATCGTAACTAAATAATGACACGTCATCCTTTTTTAAAAAATATTAACTTTTCTATCCAAATAGACAAAAAACAAAACTTCTCAACTATTCAAATCTTCGTTTGGGAAAGACGTTCACATGGATTTCCCGATTTTTGGAGAGATAGTAGTCGCGGATCAAAAATTCGTTGAATTTCTAGATTATAAAAAAAAATATAAAACAGGAGATTACATATGTACGTGAACAGACGCATTTTCATCCTATGTTTCCTCTTTTATCACTACGAGTTTCAAAGATCATCACTTCATCATATATATATATATAGGAAGACAACTCCTCTTTCACTGTCGGCCCAAATCATCGTCCTTGCCTTCAAGTCTTCATTTATGGCCTTGTTATACATTACACATATACAGTACAGGAACGAATATCGTTCAATTATGAAACGACATCTTCAAACCTTACACATTCAGACTAATACTCATGTCTGGAACAACGCATTTGTCACTATAAGGTCTTGGCTTTTGCTCTTTTGGAGTGAAAAGACTGAGGATACAGGGGAGCAATAGGGGAACTTCTCCTTTTCTTCTCTGGAAAGTCGAAAGAGTGGCAACGTATTCCCTCGTCACATGGAATGTCACTCAGTACTCTCCCCACCTCCTCAACGATTTTCTTTATAAAATCCGACTCAGAGCTGCCAAACCATCAAAAACAAAAACTTGTCTGTATATATACACGCAAGAGAGAGAGAGAGAAGGAGAGAGAGATTCTTTAACGGGTTTCTCCATTAGAGGAGGCGTAAGCACTACTACTAGTACCTCTTGTCGGAGAGGGACAAGCCCATCTTGTCGGAAACAGACTCCAAAGCATCCTTCCACTCCATGATCTGGTGACCGCGAGAAGCCTTGGCCAGTTCCCAGAACTTGTCACCGAACTTGCCCTTCTGCTCCCTGACGTCATCGGCATCGACCTTGTAGAAGATGGGTATCACTCTAAGCTTCCCCATTTCCACCCGCTTGTTGATCCTCGAGAGCTCGTCCAAGCACCATTCCGATTCGGCGTACCTCCTGGAGAAGATGACCAAAGCGATCAGCGACTGGTCGATCCTCAGGAAGAGATCCTTGAGGTCTTTGCCTCTCTGTTCGTCTTTGTCTATGAAGAAATTGACGCGGTTCCTCTCGAGGGCCTCTACCAGGTGGCTTACGAAGCCGTACCGAAGCTCGTCCCCCCTGTAATTTATGAACACCTCGTGCTGGGGCCGCGAGAAAATCGCCATCGATCTGAATTCCGAGGTTTTCTCTTAAGGAATTGATTCGGAGAATAGAGTGAATTGAATATGTGCGTGTGTGTGCGGGTGGGTTTAAATAAGAGAAGGATATGTTAGGATGTTTAGTGACTAGTCGCTGGTCAATAATCACAATCGGATGGGTCATAAATAATTAATTATAAGAGGCCACAACGACCATCGACTGTCGATCCTCAGCCGGTATGTTTTGTTTTTTTGGCGTTGGATTCCGTAGGAATTATGTAACAAAATATGTACAGGGTTTAACAATAAATAAATATATATATATATATATACATATATGCAAACTATAAGTCTATATAGAATATAGTTTAATTTTACTATATATATTATAATTTTATTAAAATTAAATATTTTTTCAATTAATTGAAAGTATTAAATTAATGATATATTTATTATTTATGTGACAACATTACAAAATTTTATTTTATTTTAAAAAATTGTGACTAAAATTTAAAAAGGAAAAAATCCCAAAAAATTGTCGAACTTGGAGATAGCTGACATATTAATACTAAACTTTTCAAATTTTCAAATTAAATATGAACTCGTCCATTTTGACACAAAAATACTGAACTTGTAATTTTTTTACAAAAACCTCATCGACGTTAAACGGTGTTAAATCGATTAACGGCTGATCTGACGTGGCGGATGACTCAACGGCTCGTCATCCGCCACCGCTCCATTGTTGTCACAATACAGAGCAATGGGGCTATCAAAATAGAAATAGAAAAAAAAATAAAAATAAAAACAAATTAAAATAAAATAAAAAACAAAAATAAAACAAAATAAAAATAAAAACTACAAAATTTAAATTTAAAATTGAAATTTAAATTTAAATTTAAATAAAAAAATAAAAGTAAAAATAAAAATAAAAAGAAAAAATATAAAATATACAATATATATACAATATATATACACAAATATATACATATACATAAAATATTAAATATTATATATATATATATATATATATATGTATACATATATATTTATTTAATAGTTACTATTTAATGTTTATTTAATAGTTACTATTTAATGTATATAAATATATATGTGAATTTTGAAATAATTATTATATTTTTAATTATTTGTAATGTAATTACAATGATTTTAATATATATATATAGTTGTGTATATATTGCATATATATTATATATTTTTTATATAAATACATATATATATATGTACATGTATATATACATATGAATTTATAAATGCATATATGTGTATATATTTACATGTGCATATCTATATGCACATATATTGTATATATATATATGTGCATATATATATATAAATATACACATTTAATATTTATTATTTTATGTATATGTGTATATTGTATATATATTGTCTATTATATATTGTATATATATACATATGCACACATATATATATATATATATGTGTG